AGGCTAATGTTGTTGTCAAATTGTAAATTGAATGATACACATGCAGAGCACTGAGCTCAGAACTTGTGACTTGCATGCAAGGAAATTTTATAGCTTGCTCTTCTCTCTTTATTAGCAGTGAAGAATCTCAGTTGTAACTTTAATAAGTATAATTTAATTTTTACTATGATATTTTCAAGCACAGTACTTTTAGACTCTCTTTTCTCTGATGAGCCATTTGAAGTGCTTTTATATTCTGTCATTCAACCATAATTAATAAAAACTTGAAGATTTATGTGTGTTTTCTTGAATTTTCTCTGCTGATGAAGTGTCTTGACAAGAGATCAGTCCTATGTTGCTGCAAGTAAGATTGGCTAAGGTAGGTGCCATTTTAATTTCATTGCAACCACACCCACATCAATAAAAATATTTCATTAGAATGCTACCGCATTAGATCATTGATTTTTAAATAGATATTGTGCACACATGGGTGTGACCAGAATAGGCGTGACTGGAGACGTACGTACATACATACATACATACGGAGGGAGGGAGGGAGGGAGGGAGGGAGACTTCGCCTGAGTGGGGCGAGCTTATGCTCGCCCCAATAATAGCAATAATGATGCGATGGTAATCAACTCCTACTTTGTATTTATTTGTGTGTTTGACATCAGCTCCCTGCTTCAGTAGCAGTTCAACTACTTGAGTAAATCCTTTAATGCAGGCAACACCAAGTGCTGTATCCTATACATACAGAATAATGATAATGATACAAATATATGAATTATTATCTCTTACGTTGTGACTATCAGTGGCACTAAGATTAGCTCCATGCTTCAGTAGCAGTTCAATTATTTCTGTATGTCCTTCTATACAGGTCATTATAAGTGGTGTGCGCTACAGTAATAATAATCAGTAATGATGATGATGATGATGATGATTGACAATCACTATGTCCCTTACTTTATATTTATTGACATGATTGATATCAGCTCCACCATGCTCCAGTAATAGTTTAACAATTTCTGTGTGTCCACCAATACAGGCAATACCAATCATTGTATCCTACACAATAATGACAATTAATAGTGGTCACTGCCAAAGCAGAGATATATTCCCTATTGTACTAGGGCCCCAAACCCAAATACATAAATAAGTATAATTAGTAATAGCTCTTACATGATCCTTATCAGTGTGATTGATATCAGCTCCATGCTTCAGTAACAGTTTAACTATTTCCATATGTCCTGGTATACTGGCATTACCAAGTGGAGTATTCTACATAATAATAATAATAACAATAATAATAATAATAATAATAATAATAATTTACTATTGTATCATAAAAATGACCACTAAACAATTAGTAATTCCTCTTACTTGATTGATATCAATGGCATTGATATCAGCTCCATGGTTCAGTAGCAGTTTCACAATTTCTGTATGTCCTTCTATACAGGCAACACCAAGTGGTGTACGCTAGCATAATAATAATAATAATAACAATAACAATAATGATGGTGTGGTGTAATTAGTTTCTGTACTATTAACTTTCATAATAATAATAATAATAATAATGATAATAGTAACAATAATAATAATAACAACAACAACAATGATGATGATGATGATGATATAATAACAATAATAATAAGTGATCTTTTAAAAATTCTACTCATTATTTTTAAGTATATATAATAGAGCAGATGCATCACTCTCTCTCTCTCTCTCTCTCCACTCTCTTATGTCTCATACTTGTTGGCTATTAGTGTGGTTGATATCAGCTCCATGGTTCAATAGCAGTTCAGCTACCTGGGTATGTCCTTTATAACAGGCAATACCAAGTGGTGTGTTCTACAAAATATATTAGTAATAATAATAATAATAATAATAATAATAATAATAATAATAATAATAATAATAATAATGATGATGATAAATTATTTATATTTGTATGTCTATTATTTATTTTTTAGCTTTCCTTTTGTTCTTCTATTTTACGTCCTCCCTTTCACACTTTGCTTCATAATAATAAAATAATAATCTTATTGCTTTCCTTTTTATTTATTTTTTGTTATTGTTTTTGTTCTTTCACTTTTGTTTTTATTTTCGTTTTTCCTTTACAGTTTATTTTTTGAGCTCTCTCTTCAATTATCCTCTTAAAATTGATTTTATAATAATAACAATAACATGACTGTAAGGCTAGCTTTGATAATAGTAATAAATAATAATAAAGATAAATTAGCATTATTAATATTACTACTATTGTTGTATTTCTTACTTCATGTCCATCAGTTAAATTGATAAAACTTCTTTGTGAAGCAGGGGCAAGACTATCAGCACTTTTCTTAATAAGAAGATCAACGATTCTTTCATTACCAGCAGTACAAGCAAGATGAAGTGGTGTACTCTTGTTTTTATCAGTAGCAATAATATTCACTCCTCCCTTCTGTAATAATTCAGCAACTTTATCATAGTCACTATTCATACAAGCTCTGTGAAGCTTTGTGCGACCATTTTTATCTATAAAATATTCACAATTTCAAAAAAGTATAGCCTATGCCTGAAACTTTATAGTACACTCATAATAACTTGAACTTAACATTATGTTTCAATACTAAATACCGTATAGCGCTTTAATTTGGCAGTTTTATTTTGGTGATTGGCAGTTTGCAAGCAGAATTGCCATGATTAAAAATGACACTCATTAGTGTGCATCCTCAAAAAATCGCCAAAGTAAAGAATGCCAATTCAGAAAAATTTCAAAAAGTGCTATACTGTATGATATTTCATACAATACATGCATACATGCAATGCCCTAGATATGCATAGCTATGTTGAAGGAACTATATCAAACTTTCTGCTCTGCTATAAGTTAACACAGTTTTGATAACACATTATAGAGAAGCACTTTGTACACAATTACATGGGCATCAATGTCTAACTATACATGCACAGACTTCATGGCTAGTTTGAATTGGCTAGCACTTCTCGATTAGGATAAATAGCTATTTTGAATTGGCTAGCACTTCTCCATTAGAATAAATATTCAGTTCCGTCTGTGTTAGGGTCAATATATATAATATATAGGGTACACACTCATGGGGAATAGCTATTTTTCTAATTTGCATGGTAATTGAGATTACTTGTGCACACCGTATAGCAGGATTTATTGAAAAAGGTTGCATTTTGATGAATTGACAATTTAAAATAAAACATCAAATTTTATAGCTGTCAAAATTTGTA